GGCTCTGTCTCAAAAAAAAAAAAAAAAAGTGTTGTACATTAGTAACGTTTCATAAACTCATGTTTTGGCGCACACAGAGGTAATGCTCCCCACAAATGTTCTTTTTTTTTTGAGATAGAATCTCACTGTCACCCTGGTAAAGAGTGCTCTGTTGTCATAGCTCACAGCAACCTCAACCCCAAATTCCTGGGCTCAAGTGATCCTCTTGCCGCAGCCTCCCCGGTAGCTTGAGACTCCAGGCCCCAGACAGCACAACAGGCTGATTTTTCTATTTTTAGTAGTGCCCACGCGCCCCTCCGCACCGTCAACATTCCCCCAAGCCCTTCCAACCTCACTCCCAGAGGCCACGACTGAGGTCCCAGCGTCCTCCAACCTCCGCCAGCCCCACCCTTTAGGGCCCAGTGACCTAAGTGGGTTAGCGCAGGATCAAAGAAAGACTGGGCTCAGTGGCCGAACTGCGCCTTCCCCGACCGCGCCTCTGGGTCCGCACGGGTCTCAGCGGCTCCCTCCTCCAGCTCCCTCCCCTCCTTGCTCCGCCTTCCCCCACTTCTGGGGCTCGGGAGGCGGAGTCGGGCGTTAATCTAAAAGCCAGACCCGCCGGGCCTTTGATGTCCGCAGGGCGGGGTGTGTGCGGAGGCGGCTGTCAGAAGTCGGCCGGGACTGGCGCCGGCGTCCCCTGGGGTCGGGCAGCTGACTCGTCGCGGTCTGCAGAGAAGCCCCGCGTGGTCCCAGGGCAGCCCAGGGCCCCGCTGCGTGGGTGTCGGAAGCACCTCCCTGCCTTTGCGAAGAACCCAGCACATGGCTATCAGTCCCAGCGCGCAGCCGGAGGGGCAGTTCACGACGCTGGGCCCGCTGGCTGTATCCACCGTTAGTTCAGGAGACCTGAGAGCTCCCAAAAATTTCGTCGCCCGCGTTCCCCGAGGCCACCGAGGTGTTCGGAAGGCGGACACGGAGAGTTCAGATAAAAGCGGCTACGATCGGGATGCCAGTCCCGAGCTGTCCCCCGGCGGCTCTGCCACAACGCGGGGACTCGCGAGGACTGTAGCCCAGGCGGAATCCTGGCACTCGCCCTGTTCTTCCTGCTTAGATGCCCTGGGTGACCATCCTTCCCAGGGCGGAAGTGAGACCCGAGTGCACAGAATGCTCCTGTGGCACTGGGGTAACACCCCTCCTACTGAAGTTGCCTGCCCACCCACACGGCCTAGGGCAACAGACCGGCGCCGTCCACCCGGACTCTGCTGTCCCTCAGGTGTTAACATCTAACATCTCCAGGCCAAGCCCTGGTGCTGCAGACCGGCAGGGCATAGGCTCCAGATCTCGCTTATCCAGACACCGCTCTGGCTAAGCCGCAGTGGGAGTGGACCCCTCCTACACCGTCCTACAGCCTCACCAGCCCGGTGGGGGTTGGGGAACACAGCTGACTAGCCTGGAGTCAGCACATCTCAATTCAGTGGAGATCACAGCCCCACCCCTGCCCAGACGTCTAGGAGCCCTGGATGTGTGAACCCTTTCCTTTGTGCCTCTGAATTGAAGGCAATTAGGTGCTACTTATCTGGGGGAATTCACAGGCATCTATGCAAACCTGCTCTCACTCCCTCCTTCACTTATAAATGCAGCCTGCCCTGCTAACCCTGAGGTGGATAGTGTCACCAGCCCCTCCCAACCAGCCCTCCAGTATTTCCCCCTCACCCTGACGGCCATGAACCCCTCCACTGCCCTGCCCAGCGGCCCAGAGAGACTCTCCAGCTTTGGCTCGGTAGACTGGCTCTCCCAGAGCAGCTGCACACGGCCAACCCACACCTCCAGGCCTGCTGAAGTCTCCTGGGGGAACCCCTCTGGCCCAGGCCAGGCATCTAGCACTAGGGATCCCCCTCAGACCATCGTCATGAAGGAGGCTACATCCTCGGCTATGTCCTCGGATCTGCCTATGCGAGAGAAGCCCTTGGCTGGTAGGTTTGGGTGGGATCCCTTCTTTCCCAGGCAGGAATGGGGGCTGGGGAAGGTACAGGAGGGCTGCACATACCCCTGCCATGCCCCCATGCATTTGATGGGGGCTGGAGGTGCTCTTACAAGGGCTGGGGCTGCAGGTCTCACTGCCCCTTCTTGGGAGTGGACACCTTGGAATCTAAAGCCATGGCAGGCTCTTCTGACCTCTCACCCCTGTTCCTCAGCCGGCTCCCCTGCAGCACAGAGCACGGACGTGAGCATCTCTGCACGAGGTTTCCCAGTTCCCTAATCCTTGGGACTTGGTTCTAGGGATGGCTGTCTCCCTCCCAGGGAAGCCGGACATCTGGATCAGCCTCTAGAGTTTGGCCTCACTGTCTCTTTGGGGTCATTTTTTTTTTTAAAGCCCGGAGGTCTGTTTGGGGTGACCAGGGTGCTTGTGGAAACCCTGTCCCTTGGTACTGGGAGATGGTCTCCATGACTTCAGCTTTATGTTAACTTTATGGCTTACTGACAAGATTTTCTCAGTCTTTGTGACGTAATGGTGGGTTTATATTCAAAGTACTAGATGGTTAAAAGTGGGGTTGATACTATCTATAAATTTTTATTTAAAAAGAGATAGAGGTCTCACTCTAGGCAACCACAGTTGCCTATAATCCTAGCACTGTAGGAGACCCAGGTGGGTGGATTGCCTCAGCTCAGGAGTTGAAGACCAGCCTAAGCAAGAGGGAGACCTCATCTTTAGAAAGGAAGGAAAGGTAAAGGAAGAGAGTTTGACTAATCCTTATGGAATAATTTCACACTTCGCTGAGGTGAAATATTAAATTTATTCTTCCCCAACCCAGAAAGCCAGCTGTTAATTCCTGCGCCCTTGAGGTAACTTGAATTCCTGATCAGCTGTGTGCTTTCAGGTGTTAAAACAGGTTTTGCAAAACTTGTTTCCTTTCAGCCTAAAAATCTCCTTGGGTTGTTTTGTTTTGTTTTGTTTTTTTAGAGATAGAGTCTCACTCTGTTGCCCTCGATAGAGTGCGGTGGCATCACAGCTCACAGCAACCTCCAGCTCCTAGGTTTAAGCAATCTCTTGCCTCAGCCTTCCGAATAGCTGGGAGTGCAGGTGCCTGCCACAACACTTCACTATTTTTTGTTGCAGTTTGGCCAGGGCCGGGTTCAAACCCGCCACCCTCAGTATACGGGGCCGGTGCCCTACTAACTGAGCCACAAGCGCCACCCTGTTTTGTTTTTGAGACAGAGTCTCACTTTGTCACCCATGGCATCATCGTTCACAGCAACCTCAAACTCTTGGGCTTAAGCGATCCTCTTGCCTCAGCCTCCCAAGTAGCTGAGACTACAGGCACCGGCCACAACACCCAGCTATTTTTTTAGAGATAGGGGTCTTGCTCTTGCTCAGGCTGGTCTTCAATTCCTGAGTTCAAGCAATCTACCTCCTCAGCTTCCCAGACAGTGCTTTGATTACTCCTGAGCCACCAGGCCCAGCTTAAAAGGCCTGGGTGTTTCCTTGAATATTTTTTGTTTCTTTGTTCTGTTTATCAGGCCTAGGCCAAACTAAACCTGCCACTCCTGCTGTGTGTGGGGCAGGGGGCTCTAGGGGTACTAAAACTGAGCTGCAGCAGCCAGCTCCCCTTGGGCTTTTTTTGGTCAGACTTGAAGTCCAGTAACAACTGGTGCTCACCACAGTGGCCTCCTTCCTGGGACTGAGACCACTTCGTGGGGCACTAAATACCATCCCATTTCTTTTTTTTTTTTTTTGAGACGGAGCCTCAAGCTATCCCCCTGGGTAGAGTGCTATGGCATCACAGCTCACAGCAACCTCCAATTCCTGGGCTCAAGCGAGTCTCTTGCCTCAGCCTCCCAAGTAGCTGGGACCACAGGCGCCCGCCACAACGCCGGGCCATTTTTTGGTTGCAGCCATCATTGTTGTTTGGTGGCCAGGCTGGGGATTCAAACCCGCCACCTTAGGTGTATATGGCTGGCTCCTTAGCCACTTGAGCCACAGGTGCTGAGCCATCCCATTTCTTAATTTAGAAATTAGAAAGCAGACTTGACAAAGACACAGCCAGGATTCACATGGGAATGGAGCTGGCTGGGCCCCCTGAGGCCCTGGGCCTTTGCCTGAACAGAATCTGCAGAAAGCCTCCATGCCCATAGTGCCCACAGACCATCTCTACTGGTCAATCTCCAGTTCCTGTCTGCACCCTAAAAAACTGTGGACATGAAGGCAGCTCTGGGGAAGGGAGGGGAGAAAAGGGCAAATATAGGGGTGGATGGGACAGTAGGCAGTCTGTGGAGTTGTCCAGGCTGGAGCAATACTCCTTGCTTTTTTCTTTTTTTTTTTTTACAGTCTCACTTGTCGCCCCCTGTAGAGTGCCCTAGCCTCATAGCTCACAGCAACCTCTAACTCTTGGCTGCAAACAAGTCTCTTGCCTTAGCCTCCCAAGTAGCTGTGACTGTAGGTGCCCACCACAATGCCCAGCTATTTTAAGAGTTGGAGGTCCCGGCTCGGCGCCTATGGCTCAACCGGCTAAGGCGCCAGCCACGTGCACCTAGGGTGGCGGGTTCGGATCCCCAGCCCGGACCTGCCAGGCAACAATGATGGCTGCAACCAAAAAAAATGGCCGGGCGCTGTGGCGGGCGCCTATGGTCCCAGCTGCCTGGGAGGCGGAGGCAGGAGACTCGCTTGAGCCCAGGAGTTGGAGGTTGCGGTGACCTGTGATGCCACGGCACTCTACCCAGGGGGGGACAGCTTGAGTTTTCAAAAAAAAAAAAAAAAAAAAAAAAAAAGAGTTGGAGGTCCCACTCTAGGTCAGGCTCAGTTCTAATGGCTTGAACTCGTGAGCTCAGGCAATCTGCCCACCTCAGCATCCCAAAGTGCTAGGATTACAGGCATGACCTACGGTACCAGGAGGCAATACTTGTCACCTGAGTCCCAGCTCTGTGTTCCACCCCACACCCTGGGTGGGGGAGGTGAGTTGCCTCCTGCACCAGCCCAGCAGGTGTGTGTGCCCCTTGCAGGGTGGCATTTTAAAACAAATAGACTCAGGGCTTCCTCTTCCCTCCTTCAGGGCTGAGCAAGGAGCCAGACCCCTGGCGGGTCCCACGAGTGCGCACAGCCTTCTCTGCAGAGCAGCTCCGGGCCTTGGAAGGTGTCTTCCAGCACCACCAGTACCTCAGCCCCCTGGAGCGGAAGAAGCTGGCCAAGGAGATGCAGCTCTCAGAGGTGCAGGTGAGGCCTCCAGCTGGGCTGGGTGGCAGCCTGCACCCCTCCCAGCTCTGATCTTGTTTTTTCCACAGATAAAAACCTGGTTTCAGAATCGCCGAATGAAACACAAACGCCAGATTCAGGACTCCCAGCTCAACGTCCCCTTCTCTGGGCCTCTGCTCTCACCTGTCCCTTTTGGCACCATCTGCAGCCCTGAGCACTGGCCTGCAGCAGCCATGCCCTTGGGCATCCCTGCCCCTGCCAGGACCCCGGCTCTGGTGCTGCCCACCAGCTCCTTCTGGGGTTTCTGCCAAGTGGAACAGGACCTCCTGGGTCTGGCATGGGCCTCCTGCTGTCAACAGCCTCTAGTGTGTCACCTTCCAGACTCTGGAAGACATGTGCATATGCTGGGCCCGGCCTTGTCCATGGGACCCTGAGGCCTGTGTGCCCCATCGGAAGCCACTGATACCTTCTAAGGAGGCATATTTATCTCCACAGTGCCCACATAAGTGGTATGCCAGTGTTCAGAGCAGCCAGTGGTATGCCACTCTGTTCCTGTTGGTGTCACCACGGCCCCATCTGCAGCTGGACGGCGCCTTGTATGAGTCTGGTGGTGTTTCTAAGCCAGATCTGCCTCAAGATTCTGGAAATTTATAGTTTTCAAGCTGCTTGTTTCCTGAAAATTACAGAATAACTGATACATCCATCAGTGGGCAGAGTCAGAAGCCAGAAATGGTCTTGTTGTGGGTAGAGCTTTCCTAGCACGATAAATGATAACATCCTGTGAAAGGTGTGCATGATCATTCACATGTTCAAAGGAAGGCTCAAAGACAGCAGCTACAGGTCTTTGAGCCAGGACTCTGCGCTCACTGCTCTCTCTGGTACTCTGGGATAGGATGAAAGTCAAGGCCCATCCCCAGCATGCCCACCAACAACTTCCTACAGAAAATCTGTTTATGCCCAGGGACCCAGTGACAGGAGGCTAGGCAGCCCCCCTAGGCAGGACCGGGGTGTCACCAATGTGCAGGCAGGGCAACAGTCTGAAAACTTTGGCTGTGTTGTACAGTGCACAAGTGTCCGGGGTATCTCTGGGGGGGGCATATCAGTCCCAGTGGGACACGGGTGGGATTTAGCTGACAGACCAGCCAACGATTAACTGTGGGAGCCAGCCCAGGCACCCCAACAAGAATAAGAGTATGGTCCTCTCTCAAGTGTGGCAATATGAGTTCACTAATGTCACCAGCCTTGGGGTAAGGCTCCCACTCTGTCATCTGTTATTGGAAAGTTTTCTCAAATAGTTCAGATAAAGGTAAGCCACTGAACCTGTGGCTGGAATGGGCCTTCTAAGGGAGCAGGTGGGCCCCGGCCCTGTGCACAGCCTGGAGGGGTCTAGTCCGGAGAGATGGAGGCAAGTTCCCAGTGATAAAGCCATTCTCACATATCCCCCAGCCACAGAAGCCACTCAGCCTTCATCCCTAAGCTCCTCTAGTGAGCAAGAACTTCAGTTCGAGGGTGTCTCAAGGTCGAGGTAGCTCAGGGGAGCAGCACACAAAGTCCTGAGGGCTGGGCAGAAACAGACTGTGAGTTCCCAGCCCCTTCACTCCCCCCGGCCTGTGAGCATTTGAAGTAGCAACAACAGCACTGCCCACACAGCCCTTTCCTTCCCACACCCCAGCAGTGTGACCACTCTCCTGGCCTTGGCCCAGGCTCTCTGCTCCTGGTTGGTCCTCTGCACCAGCTCCAAGGCCCAGGTCCCCTCTCTGCTCCTGGGCACTCTCAGCAGCCCCCACATGCTTTTGGGCCTCATTGTGGCTCAGGGTCCTCACATGGGTGTCTAGCATCTGAGGGCCCCCAAACTGGCCCCATCCTCTATTCTCCTACCACCCAGCCAGCCCAGGCGCCATCATGCCCTGCGTCCTGGCATTATAAACAGGGTGGGCCAGGGAAGGAGCAGAGAATCTGCACCCAGCCCACTTGGAAAAATAGCTGGCAAGTGTAGATTCACAGTGTGGCAGGGCAATGCCCACAGGGGACACAGGACAGTAGCAGGTGGCTGAGGAAGGCATATGTAGCAGGAACCTCAGAGCAGAGCTGAGAGTGAAGTGGGAAGGGCCCATAGGACAGAGCCACTGCTAAGGGCACAGAGGGGCGGTCACACTGTCTCTAGGAGATACCTCCCGGTGATTACCCATCTCTTCCGAGCTCCCCAGGGCCTCTCACGGCATGTGAGAGCTGTGTGCTGTGTATCTGCCGTGGGTGTGTACTATGTAGTGTATGAGTGTTGTATATGCTATATTGTGTGGGAAGGGCATGTATGTACTGAGCCCCATTATGGCCATTCTGAGTCTAAAGCTATGCCTCTAGGGCTTGGGGCCAGGCCACAAACCCTGGAGTCCACATGGAAAGGGTGAGTGGGCTTGCTGAACAAATGCAGCCCCCCCCCCCGCCCTCTCTAAGTCACTGTCGGGCCTACTCTCCCTACCAAAATAATTATTAGCTCTGTAGCCATATGCTCTGGACACATCCCATTTCCATCATGAGTCCCAGGCAGTGCAGCCCTGGGGCTCCTAGGCACCAGCGGAGTGCACCCCTTCTAGGCCAGTGAAACCCCCATTTGCCCGTGGCCAGACGACAGGTGAATGGAAATCCCCTCCTAGGAGGGCGAGGTGAGGGCGGGCTCCTCTGCCAGTGCCCTTTGGGTGCCCTCAGCATTCATGGGACAAAGGCCCTGGAGTTGATGCCTGTGGACAGGATGCCTGCATTTTTAGGGCCCCCTCCAACCCCACCCTCACCCTTGCACTGCCTCTTTCTGCCCCTCTGCTGAGTCCCTATGGGCTCAACCCGCTTAACGGACACTGGCTGGCGTGGAGAGCTGCCTTCCTCCATGTGGTTCTGGCATCGACACTGGCCTTCCTCAGGGCTCAGGCAGCTGCAGTCTAGCCCAGTCCTCCCTCCCTCACCCCACGCGTGCGTGTAGCAAAGGCATCAGAGAGCCCAGGGAGGGCAGGGCACCTTCTGGGACCCAACACTGGAAGGGTAGTGTAGGTGCTGTGGCCACAACTCTACAGGGACAGTTAGGGTAAGAGCTGATAGCAAGGCAAAGCTCTCAGCTCCCTGGATCTAGCTGCGCTTGCAGCCCAAGATTCTGCCACAGACACCACATCTACTTCAGACTGTGAAGTGGTTTTCTAGTGTCTGGTGGAGACAGTCCAGAGACTCTGGAAGGGATCAGAAATCTGCACCTCAGCTGCTCCACTTTCTCCAGGGGTCCTGGGGGAAAAGCTGGAGGCCTACTGAGGCGGGGGAGTGGCTGCCTTGCTGGGAGGGTCCCACCTGGAAGTCCCCCAGTTGACCTTCCCCCTTCCAGGTCTACTTTCAGAGGGGATTAGGGGCAGGGCTGGCCTGGGCAGGTCAGTGCTGATAAAGGCCCTAAGGGCCCTGTTCCCTGGGGAGTTTGATAAACTGTTGGCCCTGAAGCCTGACAAGAACTCTGGGCTGTTTAAAGGTGTCGTCTCACAGACTCCTGTCTTCAGATCTCCTTTTAAAAAACAACAGTGGGAGGACTGTTGTTTGAACTGAATTGGGGGCGCCTTTTTCCCTTTTTCTACACCGGGAAGTTGAGCCCTCAGGCTCCAGGAGCCTCTACCCTGGTCAGCAACTATTGCCCAGAGGCCAAAATGCCAGGTAGAGGGGACAGTGGGCTGCTATGCTGGCTCCCCAGGCAGACAGGATCCCTCACACTCAGCATCTCAGCCCCAGGCTCTGGGCTTGTTCCTAGCCCCTTACTCTTTCTATTCTTCTGTGTGTTTGTGTTTTTACTACATTCCCCCAAAGACCACTCTTTACTGACAAGACACCCACAACAATACGATGAGAGATAAGAGGAAAAACCAACACAACAGAGAAGTGTTATCTTTAAATTTCGTTTATTGTCAGAACTTTGCCACAATTAATGAGTTTAAATGAAATTAGCCTTATTGCCATTTCTAATCAGAAAACTAGTTCATACCCATCATTACAAAAGTGCAGCAGGTGTTAAGAAACAGACGTCCCCCCTACCCAGAGCCCAAATGACAACCCCTGCTGACATCTCCAGTCTTGGCCCCACATCTTTCTAGGCGTCTAGATCCGTAGCCACCCACTTAAGTAAAAAGTGGGGTCACCTGTGGGTGCACTTCTGTGGTCTGTAAAGAAAGTTTCCAAAGAACAGGTCATGGGTCCTCCCAATCAGTGCCCGGGCGCCAGACTCCCAGCTGCACATCCCTCCGTCCCGCCCTGTCCCAAAGCAGCCTTGAGAACGCAGGTCTCCCAGCACTGTCCTGTTCTCGCACCTTCTGTGAACCTTGCGCCCACCCCCAGATAGCCACCAAGCCCTACCCCCACCCACGCCCTCCTCTCTGCAGCTTCTGCCCCAGCTTCCTGGCTACAAAGATCAGCCAGGGTGGAGGCTAGACCACATTCACCTCAGGAACTTCCAGAACACACACAAAGGCAAACTTACACTTTTATCTGGCCCCACAACCTTCAGCCAGTCCAAATGCAGGTAGTGGGGGCGCAAGTGCCAGCTGCGGAGGACTTCGTTGCCCCATTTTCCCATGCCCTATACCTCTTTAGGCCAGATCCTCAAAGAAGTATATGCATAGGAAAAAGGAACGACGAGCATATAATGCTGGGCCGGCTCTTCAGCACCCAAAGGGGCCATTTTCCAGGAGGGTTCCACACAGGTCGGCAGGAAGGAGTCAGGTTCGAAGTCTCCTGGGCAGTTAGCACTGAAATCCTGCAGATGTGAGGAGGGACAGAGACTTACCTGGGGTCCTGGGAGATGTGGTGGAGAACTCGCCTGCTGAGCAGGGAGTGCTGCTGCTGCCAACCGGAGCTCCTCATTTATGAGCAGCAGGGACCTTGGCTGGCACTGTCACATGTGGTCAGAGGGCTGCTGTGTGCCAAGGACCCCATCCCACCCCCGCACCTGCAAGATTGGAGCACAAAGACCTATTCTGAACAGATTACTGAGCCAGGGCCCAGCGGGCAGGTGGGTGGTGGGCAGCGAGGCTCATGGCCCAGGCTGTTGGCTGGGGGCTGGGCTGGGGCTGGCCTGGCCGGCCACCCTCCTCCAGCCCTTATCTCTCTGTGCTTCTGCTTGCGTCAGGAGCCCGGAACACACATGTGGGGGAGAGCAGCTAGCCCAGGGACAGTGGTGTCTCTCCCCTTCCAGCTGGCCCAGCTCAGCACCTACAGCCACACAGCCTGGCCCTAGAATGATCTGTAGGATCAGGTGGACTACTGGCTAGGGCATGCAGAGTCCTGCCTGGGCCCCAGACCTGACATGGCTCTGCTTTACTACCAGGGCCCAAACAGACAGAAGCCTTACAGACAGACAGGGGCCCCCAGGAAGGGCCACTGAGCCCCTATAGGTCTGGGCTGCCCTGGTGCCCAATGCCTAGAGACACTTGCTCATGGGAGTCCAGGATCAGGG